GAAATCGGGAGTAAGATGTTACTTTAGTTCTAGAATAAATGTGAACATGCATAAATTCATCTCACTCACTCACAAAAAAAAAATCAGATTTAGTTTTCCTCAAAATTAATTAAAACCGTTAAACGCAACTCAGAATATGACTCAAAGCTGCAATAATTAAATATGTTAAATAATACAAATAACCTTTATGTATTTAATCCCATTTTATTAACCGATTTGCTGCTAACCTTCAGTGATCCAATTCAACCATACTAATAAGCAAAAATTACACAAGATAAACTAACATTTCTTCTTTTCTTTTTTTATTGCTGAAGAGTGTTGAACTTTCTTCTTCTGTGTATACTGTACAGACGTGAATTTACATTTCCTTCAGCCTGAGGCTTTTGGTGTGAAAGGGCTTTTACATTTGCCAAAAATAGAACTTTTTATATTAAAAGCAACCAAGCAAGCCCAGCCCAGATTTAAAAAGTAATGCAAAAGTAACGTAACGCATTACTTTCAATAAAAAGTAACTAAGTAACGTAATTAGTTACTTTTTTAGGAAGTAACGCAATATTGCAAATGCATTACTTTTAAAAGTAACTTTCCCCAACACTGATCTGGTGTTCTTTGTGAGATATTTTGGATGTATAGTACCGCATAATGTACTTCCATCTACTATCGGTGTTGTCTGTGTTGTGATATTTTAAATGTAATAACACTATATATGTGTGATAAAATACTTATCACTTATGTCTCTTGTAAAACCAACTGTAGATTTTGCCGAGCCTCTGGCAATTCCCACTTACATGGAACCAGACCTGCCCGGCCCCAGCTTCCCTACTAGCAGTGCGCTGGACAACCAACCTCCAGAAGAGAGCATCTCCATCCTCACCTCCATGGGCTTCCCCAGACATCACACAATCCAGGCTCTCAAAGCCACAGTGAGTGTCCTGCCTCATCTGCTTCATGTACAGTAGCCTGAAAAAGAATTTGGACAACTAAAAATGTATGAATGTCATTGCGTTATGATACACTGCACCTGTGGTTACTCTTCTAGGACACCTGCGTGAACTTTAGTGGAACCGACTCCACACATCCACTAAAAAATGACCTTGAGACTAGTTCCACTAAAAGTTCAAGTGTCATTTGTTTGCAGATGACACTTTTTTTTTTTTTAAATCTAAAACAATGAAATTCATACATTTCATACAGTGTCCAATCGTGTCTAGATACTTTTTAGGGCCACTGTATGTAGTATGTTCATGTTTTGAACTGTTACTTCTTGCTGCAAATTGTTTGATATGATTCTTTGGCAGGAATATAATTAGCATACTGTCACATTACACAGATGCAAAAACATGTTCCAGCATGTCTGGGTCAGTTTTGTCACTTGTTGCTCATCAACCAAGCATGTGAGAATTGAGAAGCCATCTCTTCTGTTGAACTGCTTGGCTAACCTTCACATTCCCTTAATGGATACTTAAAAGTTTGTCTACACTGTTTATAACTGAAGGAAATGCTGTTTGTGTTGGTTTAAAGTTATTTGGAGATTACACTGTTATTCAGTCAAATTTACTTGCTAACTAAATCTTTGATGAAAGTACTTTTCAGGGTTTTATTGTTGTATTTGTGTGTGTGCATTTATTTCAAAGAAATGTATCGTTTTATTCAGCAAGGACATTTTAAATTGATGAAAAGCTAAAGACCTTTATAATGTTATGAAAGATTTCTATTTCAAATAAATGATACTCTTTTGAACTTTCTATTCATCAAAGAATCCTGAAAAACAAAAGTGTCCACAAAAACAAAAAAATTAATTCTGAAGGATCGTGTGATATTGAAGACTGATGAAAATTTAGCATTGCCATCACAGGAATAAATTGCATTTTAAAATATATTAAAAGTTATTTTTAAATATTACTGTCAAATAAATGCAATAAGTGAACACAACTTCTTAAAAAAATACATTTTACATAGTTGCACTAGTTGATCCAGAATTTCCTCTTTAATAATTTTACATTTTAGTTTTCAGTTTAACTTTAATGAATTTTATAACTCCTATGTTTAGTCTAACCTTTCAGATCTTCTTGTCAAGTGAAGCTCTTGTAAGGTATTTAAACATAATCCTTTATAGTAGGACCTGCTTCTTCTTTAGTATTTCATTTTGTGTTTTAGACATTGTGGTTGTGTTGTGTAAAAATAGCCTCTCAAGCAGCCAATAATGGCGCAGTAACAAGTGGACGTCTTCAACCTACGTCGTTCACATTTATTTAGGAAAAGATGAGGGCGTCAGGCCACATTTGCTTTCAGTGCTGGCATTTGCAGTGAATCACGGCGCTATTTCAGATGAGTGCCTATGCCTAAATGAGTCTTTTGACCACGCTAGAATGACCTCAGTTAAATCAAGGACTTTCGACGGGTCTGAGCAATTTAAAAATGGCTCTTTGCCTGAGGATATAATTTTGGTGTTCAGAGTTTTCTTGTGAAATTAAATCTTGCCATGTTTTTTTGTCCACTCAGGTTGTTGGTAACCTAAAAAAACTGATCCGTGTATTTAAAGCTCCTGTTCTCAAGTGATTAGAGTATTTTGTCAATGAATTACAATGAACGAACAATGAATTACAATATCATGAGGTCACATTTAGTCCGTTTTCTGCTTCTTCGTCTGACTACAGAACAACAACTTAGAGCGAGCTCTTGACTGGATATTCACACACCCAGACTGTGAGGACGAGAGTGAGGCTATGTCAGACACGGCAGACACAGAGCCGAACAATAACAGCTTCTCAAATGCCAATGCCCACAGCGACTCCTCTCTGTCTCCAGATCAGGACCTGTCCAGCCCCCGTGTCAGAGACGGACCCGGGCGTAAGTGCTTACAGAACACTCAGTTGAACAAACAGCGCTCAACACATACTGAGGATTGCACTGTCTGCATACATTGCTGGATTGATATTTCATTGCTGATGTTGTTGTTGTTTTTTTCTTTCTCAAAGGTTACGAACTGTTTGCTTTCATCAGTCACATGGGATCATCTACAATGTCTGGTCATTATGTGTGTCATATCAAAAAAGAGGGCAGGTATGCTGATTATAATGTGTGTTATTTATTTACACATTTTCATTTTGTGAATGTTACAATCAGACTGATTGCAGAGAATATCTGAAGAACCAATGTTTTGTGCTTGTCAACAACAAGCGATAATATATAATAGAAAAAAAACATAAAAAAATTGAATTATTAGAAAGTGAAGGAGTATAAATGTTTTTAAACATTTATAAATGTTAAAATGATAAAGAAAACAAAATATAAAAAAAATATTAGGAAATGTTTTAATTAAAAAATTCTCATTTAGATTTATA